ATTTACACTGTTTCAAGTTATTGCGTTTATTTTGAATTGTTGACTAGTTCGTGATTATTATAGTTGTTTTTTGTTTTTTTTTTCTTTTTTTTTATGGGAAAAGGAGGATGTTAAGGGATGCTCCCTCTTATTGATACTTGTTATATAATAAACGCTCCCAGAGCACTTCCGGTTCAGTTATATCCACGTGTTTGACTTATTCCATTAACAGAGTAAGCGCGCGGGAATAGAAGCTTTCCACTACAAGACATTGGTTCGGGCGAGGCACCTTGTGCGTCAAGTCCACAATAGTGACCATCCCCTGACCAACACAACATCTTAGACTGTAGCTACCACAAGGATAAGTGAATTTAGCCAATCGGGTTCACTTCAGGCTCAGCAGTTTGGTAGGGTACGTGTCCGATCATTCGAAATTTTAAATTGTGAGAAAGACAGCTTTTAGGCGATAAAAAGCACTTCAATTGTTACTCAAAATTTATAAACTGAGCCTCGGTTGAATTCCAGTTTCGGAATTTTCTGACTTCTTTTAAGAAGATGCATGCTTAGTCAGTGAAAAAAATAAAAATTATACCTAATAAAAAAGTTTATATAAATTTTGTCTTTCAACTGATGTACAATGTTTGATGTTATCATGTTGTTTACAAAAAAGTCCTGTGGTGTTTTGTCGTGAAGGTGTATCTGAAAATTGTAATTTTTATTGGCAATTCTTTGACTCAAATTCTCTTGGTCCTATTGTTCCATATATTTGTTAATTGTACAGTATACATTACATGTCTTGTACATCATTAAGAAGAGAATCGAATTAAGCATGATACCAATACATTCCTTATCCTATATTTTATCCTTTATTCTTATATTATTTTAAACATAATTAAAAGAAAAGTTTGAAAAAGGTTTTTCACACAGTGACGCTAACAAATGAAGCCCACCTTTAATTTAACATTTCTCTAGTAAATGTTACTAAATCAATCTACAGGTCTTTTCTTTCAACATTAAACATCTTTAAAAGTATCATCCTCAGATGTATTTTTCAAATCACAGGTAATGAAATACAAGTATATCTCACTTGCCACACCTGTAAGTATCATAATATGTGCCTTGATCTAAGGGTGCTTTTCCAGAGATTTAGATCGATCTAAAGATTAAGATTTAGATCGTCCTAACTCCCTGGGGCTTCACGCTAAATTGCAGTCAGCTGAGCGGGCACCATAGTTAATTACCCCCTTACAGCTTTTAGTAGGTGGGACAGACGCTTAAGCCAGCCAAGCTGACAGTAATCTAGTGAGACTCCCCACAGGGATAGATCAATCTAAAAATCTATGGAAATGGGGTGTAAGACATCCCCTGCACATGCCATACAAACTAACTGGTAGCTTGGTCAATTAACTTGGTCAATTAAAATGCCCATTATGCTGTTAACAATGCAAAAACACCATAAAGAATGGGCCCAGCCAGGGTGTAATAAACATGGGGTCTGGGCTTTTAAAGGTACATACCAACCGAGCATCGGTGGAGTGTGGATTCCTTATTTTATAAAAGTATATATATGAATATGTAGACAGCAATTTGGACAATTATGTATGGTGTAGGATTAAATGAAGTTGTATAAACATTTAGGCAAATATATATAATTACAAAATTGGAGCACCAATTTTCAAGAGCAAGGGAGATCTATAATAGAGATGATTTTAAAATTTGAAACTCATTTTAATTTCATAAGATATCTAGTAAAATGCCTTCATGGTGACTTTAATCTGCAGTCGGGATCATTAAATTATATTCACTGTGTGTTGATAACATCACAGGATAGATAGCTATTGTTGTTTTGGAACAATTAACTGATCCCGTCTGGAGATGCACCCTGAGCTTCAGAGCTAACTTGACACTAACCTTTTCACTGTAGCCTATCTCCATCGTGTCAAGTAACCTCTGATGAAAATAGTTTGACCTATTTTATATAAGCCAATCGAATCCATGTTTCAAAATTTTTCACCAAAGTTTGGTGAAAACGCTGATTGGTTGATCGTCAATCGGCAATCCTCGGCTGATTCCGCAAGCTCCATACTAACACCATAGTTATTGTCGAGTGCGGAGACATNTATAATAGAGATGATTTTAAAATTTGAAACTCATTTTAATTTCATAAGATATCTAGTAAAATGCCTTCATGGTGACCTTAATCTGCAGTCGGGATCATTAAATTATATTCACTGTGTGTTGATAACATCACAGGATAGATAGCTATTGTTGTTTTGGAACAATTAACTGATCCCGTCTGGAGATGAAGATAGAGTTCTAAAACATCAAAGTCAAAGTTTAAGATTTATATCACATCTATTGCGTATTGTTGGCTGGGGATAATTTAATACTGAACTGACCAATGAAAGGGAAGGGGACCACCCCTCACCTCAAGAGTGCCACTGGACTTTTAGGACAGTTGAGCTTAAGCTTTCATCGTATGTACATTATTTGAATGCTCTACTTAAACAATAAAATTCTGTAACCATCCAAAGATTTATGTTGGTTATACCAAGTACCAATGGAGGTCGATGATGATGGGCCCCGAGTACCAAGTACCAATGGAGGTAGATGGTGATGAGCCTGATAACTAAGCATAGGAGTGCAAAGATCTGCACCCTCCTGAAAACAATTAAACCATCTCCTTTAGTAGAAACAAAGATTTTTTTCATAAAGGATAGATTTAAGGAGAAACTTTTGATCATTGGGTTCAACTCTTGCGGACTCGAGGAAGAATGTATGCAGGATTGTCTTATGACATGCAATATTGCTGTCAGATATGACATGTCTACATTGTGAAGTTGTCAGAAATTATTTCTACATTTTTGTATTTCATTTTGGTTCATTAGGAAGAACATGTAACACAATTGTTGTTTGGGAGAACCATGTTTAACCATGAATTCAACCATTCTTGCAAACTTCTCCATTTATCCTTTATAAATACAAAAGAGAGTGTTTTCTTCATTTCTTGTGCTTCGATCTGCTCACAATTCTGAATAAAAAGAATATCTTTCTATCCTATATATTGTGTGCTAGCTATCAGGATAACCAGCTGTCAGTATTACAACTTCAAAACAACCCATGAACACTGCATATTTGCTCAATTTTCTTTAAATATCCCCGTCAGGCACCCTGAGCTTCAGAGATAACTTGACACTAACCTCTTCACAATAGCCTATCTTCATCGTGTCAAGTTACCTCTGACGAAAATAGTTTGACCTAGTTTATATAAGCCAATCGAATCCAAGTTTCAAAATTTTTCACCAAAGTTTGGTGAAAACACAGATTGGTTGACCGTC